GTGTGATCTGACCGCAGGCCTCGGAGTGTAATAACCCATCATTTTAAGAGTCACTTCTATTAAGTTATTTCTTTAACTATATTTTTCTATTAAATTCTTACAAAGACAATAATTTATATTATCATTATATGGGTGCTTGAGATATATTTACACTTAGAGGAAATATTTAGAACTGAAAGAGATAAAAATAAGATTTTAAATATTAGACAAGTAGCTAATGGGCCTAATATACGTTACATCTAAGATTGAGTAAAGAATTTTTATATTCCTATACACTATATGAAACTATATTACTCCCCTACTCAAGGTTTACTATAATTATATTTTATATACCCAATTATCATTTATGTACATTTTAAGGGAATTAATGGTATTAATTACTGTCCTAAAATAATTCTACCGTATATTCCCACTCCCCCCGCGTTTCTCTCTCCACATCCCACCCCCTCACCCACGTATATTGCACTCGCCCACGATTTTCTCTTCAAAAATCTCAGAAATCCTCTATTAACGCCTATTTCATCTCTTCTTCAAAAACCAGACGAAATTGGGACTCTTATTCAAAATTCTTACCTCCATTAAAGTCTCTGATTAGCTTGATTTTCAATGAAGAAGAAGATATCTTCAAAGAACAGCCCTACAAAAGACAAAGGAGCAGATATTCCTTTATTTAATTTGGGTGTTTTCTCAGCAAATTCACCCAAAAAGGCTTCAAAATTAGCTCATGCAAAAGAACAGAACAAGCCCAAGATTTCCCCTCGTGAAGCTAGGGCAGAAGCTCGAACAAAGCAAAAGCACGATATTGATGCTGGTGAATCTTCGATACCTGTCAAATCTGCGAAAAGGAAAGGCAAAGAGATTGATTTCGATGATGATTTCGTCGAAGAAAAAGCTGACATTAAAGTTGCAAAAAAAGTTAGAGTGTCTCCTAATGTAAAAGCTTCAAAAAAGAAGAAAGTTCAAAAATCTACTAAAATTGTTCCCCAACAGTCATTGGTGAAGGTAAGAATTTATTAGTTTCAAAAATAAACTTTGGTAAAAGCTAAAAAAATTTGTTCTCATTCTTATGAACCTATATAATGTTTGATTTTGTAGTTTGTAGAAATTTTGTCTATATTTTGTAGATTTGTTGTAGATTTATAATTCATGATTGTAGATATATTTTTATATAAATATTTGCCTTGTTTTGACTGTGTAAGATTGTAGTAATTTGGTAATAAAATTTTAGTTATATTGTTATCTGTTTTTGACTCTGTTATGTAATTGTAGCTATATTGTATTAAAAATTTAGATAGTTTGTTTTTTAGGTTTGAGCCTTGTTTTAATAAGGAATTTTTCCTTTCGCCGCAGAATGGACCTTTTTTTTGCACCTCATAATGTTGATTATGAGGTAGTTAGGTTTCAGACATTATCCGACCCAAGTATTCCTGGCCAAATCAAAGATTTATTATCTGCAAATGGTTTAAAGCTTTTCAAGAAGACATGTTTTGGTTATTTGCTTTCATTGCCCAGAATATGTATGCAAAATCAAGCAATTCATCTTCTAATGAAGTTTGAATTGAATGCATCTAGTTCTGACTCTTTTTCAGCAGAGATAAAGGGTCAGAGGTTGAATTTTTGCTTGAGAGAGTTTGCGCTGATAATTGGTCTAAAATGTTTTACGGAAGTGACAGACTTTGGTTACACACCTACATATGACAGTAAAATAATGAGAAGCTATTTTCCAAACAAGGAAAAAGTTGAGAAGTCATACTTAAAATAAATTGTAACCACCAAAAGTTGGTTGAACGACGATGATGCAGTCAAGTTGTGTATTCTATATCTCATAGAATTCTTCCTCTATCCTTCAAACAAAGACAATGTAGGGTTGGTACACCATTTTAGGTTTTATTTGGTGGACTCGGGACAGTATGCGAACTACGCATGGGGTATTGATTCTTACAAACAGTTGCTTCAGTATGTTAGGCACAAGCTCAGTCCTTCTGTTCATTCTTATCTCATTCGAGGATTTGCACTAGCTATGCAAATATGGTTGTATGAGTGTTGCTCTACCGTCAACATTGATATAGCTACAAGGGTTGCTAATTCTATCCCTCACATACTTAGTTGGTCAGCTAGTAAGGACAAGATATAGTTATCTGCAATTGAAGATAGAATGATCAAACCAGCATGGATCAAGATAAATGGTTTTTACTTATGAGCAGACAATTTAGTACAAATTATCTACAACTTTTATACATATTATGTCTAAGTCAAACTAATTTCCTTTTTTCACTTAGTTCACCAACATAATTGAAGCACCAGAAGAGCTTTCTAGAATGTCTTCGCCTGATAAAGTTGAATACATACTTGAAGAAGTTGAAACCAAGTCCGAGGCTCCAAAAGATGATGCATCTCCATCGAGACACAAGAAGTCAACTGGAATAGAGGACAAGAAAGATATTCTAAAAAAAATTAAAAATTTAAGAAAAGATGTTGACAAGGTAACATATATACATAATCTTGGATGGTTTCTTTAATTTATGTTAAGCCAATATTTTCGTTAACTCTCTATATTTTAATATGTAGGTTGCTTTAGATCTTGGATCTTTCAAGACGGATTTTCTTGAAGAATAGGTAGCATTAGACTGCTACTCAATGACTCAATCAAGGTTGTTTTGCAGGCGATAAACATTCAAAAGGATAACATTGATGCCAAGGTAATATTTAAAATATATTCATTTAACAAAACAATTTATATCACCTCTAAGTTTATATTATCGTCCATAAAGTATATATCCTAAAAATTTAAAGCCTGTAGTTTGCTAGGAGTTCTACAAAAATTGCCGAGCAATCAAAAGAAATGAACAATCAACATTTTCCGTGTAGTAGTGATAAACCAGCGTATGCCAGCAGCTAGAAAAAAAGTATGTACAACATATCTACATTATATATAATATATCTATAATATATCTACATTATAGCTACAATATGTCTAGACATATCTACATTAGGCCAACAGTATATCTACACAGATTTACATATCTATGTAGATGTCTGCAATATACCTACATATTGCCTAAAATTGTATCAACTGATGTGCATTATAATTCAAATGGGTTTCTTAGATACAGGACATGTGAATGAGATGGAAATTAAAGAGAATGTTCCTGTACGTGTCGCTTTATATTCTCATTTTGAAGGGGCAATTGATGAAGAGAATGCAGGTATAAGTTAGTACATGTTATCATCACAGGAATATTCTAAACTTAGCTGTTATCATATCCATGACATCATTTCAACAAAATTCCTACATTTAAACTACAATTTGTATTCTGAAATGTTAGTGTTTAGTATAAATTTTCTACAAAATGATTAATTTAAATACTTACTATAACAGTGAAGGAAGCTATGCCTACAGAATCTCCAATACATGAAAATACAATAAGCATTCAAGGAGAATAGAAGAATGAGGAGAAGGGGAAAAAAAATTCAATCTCCCATTGAATAAGAGAATGTTATAAAAGAAGGAGATGATTGTTTTGAAGAAGGAGGTGAACCAGCCGAGTACGTTAATGTAGGTGATACGGACGACTCCAGATATGATAAAAGGGAAGTAACACTTGATGATTTTGAGTTGCCAGAGAACTTCTCCCAGATTGTTAAGTTCGGCGAGTTTAAACAATATGAAACAACCCCTGTGCATCAAGGAAGAACAAGGTAGCCTGGAAAGCATGCCCGATCACCCTTTCTCCCCATTTACAGTTCTGGTGGCAGCACTTCTGTTGGACTTCCAATTTTTCAAATCAAGCATCCGTTTACTAGGATTATAGGTCAAAATATTGATCCTAAGTTGTTGGACGAATTCAAAAACTGGTTATACCTTGGTACCGATACAGCTTCAAAGAGGTTAGTTTATATAATTTGTTCATATTTCAGAGTGCATTCATCTTTTGAATATCCACTTCAATCTACATTTCTATTGTAATTGCTATGTGTTTAAATAGGAGGAAGGCGCCTTATTCTGTAAAAGATAACCAGCTTAAGCCGTGGTATGATCTTGGAGTGAAGAAAGTTGATAAAAAGGAGTGGTTTTACACTTTAGCACATCCCGGACAAGTCCTCAACAGCACAGTAAACACATACCCTTGCAGAATGAAGTGATTAGCTGGGTTATTCTATTATTGGAGGATATTGTAGTTTTTTTGTTTAAATATTATAGTTAATATGTTTGAAGCATTAACAAATAATGAACTCTGTTTTTTTTTTGTAGCACATTGATGTTATTTTATACTATTTGAAGAAGAGAGGAAAGTATGGTCTTGTGAACAAAACACATTTTACAACCACTGACTGTATTTTCAAGACTCGAATTGAACAAATTTATGAAAAATACATTAATGCTCATGACGATAAGAAGCTAGCTGTTGTCAAATCTCAGGACGTCGTAGCTGAATACATATTGGGGTATAGGCTACTTGCAAATGTTGCATGGGATCAAGTTGATTTTGTGATGCCCATAAATATTGTGGAAAAATTTCATTGGTTGTTGGCTATTTTTGACATTACCGAAAGGATTCTATATGTTTATGATTCTATGGTCTCTTCACACAATCACATCATTGTTGAATCTATTGTCAAAAAATTTGCAACAATAATTCCCCTATACTTGTCATGCACCGACTTCTATGGAAAGCGTCCAGACATCAACTACAAGAACACAAAGACATACATTAAAAAAGGTGTTACTGACCTTCTTGACATTAGTGGTTGGTCGGTGAGATACCCCAGCAAAAAGAGGGTTCACTATATGAAAAAGTTGCTTTTCCTTCTATTTATTTAACATATTTTATTCAATCGCTGAATACTAAATCTTTTCCCCTAATTTCTGTTTGCAGTGACTGTGGTGTATACGTTACTGCATTTGCTAAATATGTCAGCATTGGAGAGCTATCGATTTCAAAGGAAGACCTTTCTGATGTTGATCAACATCGTAGACGCTGTGGAGCTCTACTTTGAGATTATGCTAGGAAAAAGCGAGAGATTGGTGCAATTAGTGAGAGTAAAGTGACTGGCAGATTAGGAAGAAGAAAAGGTCCACCAGCTGCAAATGAGAGAACAGAAGTCCGGAAGAAGAAGAAGAAGAATTAGTTTCCCTATTCTGTAGAAAAATTGTAGTTAAAATGTGTAGGTGTAGTGAGTTTGTAATAAAGTTGTCGACAAATTGTTAGCTTAGAACAAGTTAGTTGAAACATATTTGTAGCAGATTTGTGCTACAATTGTTTTACCTTTAGTTTTGTTATTTTTGTCCAGGAAATTACTACTTTGTATTGAAAACACTATGGAGATCCTTTTTTGGTTCAAAATTGTTAGTATTTTATTCTACTACTTTTGTTTTTTGTTGTTACCCTTTGTTTCATTATTTATTTTTACCAACTGTGAACGGGAGAACACAAGTCCGGAAGAAGAAGAATTAGTTGCCATTTTCTGTAGGAAAAATGTAGTTAAATTGTTTAGTTGCAGTTGATTTTGTAGAAAGGTTGTAGACAAATTGTTATTTATGAACAAGTTTGTTGAAGTTTAATTGTAGCAGATTTGTGCTACAATTATTTTACCCTATATTTTGTTATTTTATCCAGGATACTAGTGCTAACAATAGGAAACATTCTGTTGTTTTTATCTTGATTGGTTGCAAGTTATTAGTACTTGATCTCATAAATTTTAGCATAAAACTCCTTTAGAACATAATTATTATGTAGTTATTCTGTCATCACCAGATTATGTAGTTATTTTGTAGATAACTTGTAAGAATCATTGTTTACTAATGAATTGTGATATATATAATTAAATAATTGTGTATTATAGATATAAATCATTCATAATCCAATCAAGTTATGAAAGTCTGAACTCCATACACTCAGTAATTAAACAAAACAAATTCAAACCAACTACATTAAGAGTTGAAAATATTTCATTATAGGAAACAGTCTTTACTCAATTTATCAACACAATTACACCTCAACTATAATTCTCCTGAACACCTCAACACTTTTTATCAAAAAATCTGTTGACTATATCAAATTTTATTTCTTCTTGGGAGCATTCTAGCAAGATCTTTTGTTATGCCCTTCTATTCCACAGTTGCCACATGAAACCTTGTACTTCTTTGCATTTACTTCATCATATATTTTGTATCTTTGTTTTTGAGGTCTTCCTGGCTGTTTTTTCCCGGTAGGTGGATTTACAACTTCTTCAGCTATATGTTGTGGCACATTCCATTTGCTTTCATCAGGCAGCGGGTTACTGGTATTTCATAAGTATGCAAGAGGCTCTCCCTCGTGTAATAAGGAGAACAATATTTTTCATAAGACTCATCCCTGTGCCTTAAAGCAGCCAAAGCATGTGGACAAGGAAGTTCATCAAGCTGGAATTGTCAACAACTACATCTCTTGTTTTCAAGACAAATATAGCGCCTCACACCATCTAGCACTGTATGGATGTAATCTATTGAAGCCCTCACCTACAATTACATTACAAACACACAATAAATCAGCAGCAACATATACGAAATAACTACAATTATTCAACAATTTATCCACAATATCTATTAATATTTTAGTTTGATGCAATAATTGATCAGATGTTATTGGATATAGCTTACTTTAAGCTTCTGCGACAATGTTCTGTTGTCCTCCAACTCTTTGTTGAATTTAAACCCAAGGTATGTGAATGTAACCTTTGCTTTCAATAACTTTTCATTAGTCCAACATTCAAGAAGAGTCCTCATGTACTCTAATAGTTCTACTATCGGCAGCTCTCTTGCATCTTTTGTTACCGCATTCAATGATTCGGCAATGTTTGATGTCATAGTCCAAGTTCTGTTCACCGTAGACCATCTGTGATAGCCAATATCGTATAAGTATGCTTTAACACGCGTGTCGATCTCTTCAATCTTTGACATTCTTTCATTAAATTCATCAAGCGCGTATGATTGTGCCGTGGCAAAGTACAATTCGCTTAACTTTAGGTGACCTTTCTTGAACTTTGACCTTATTTTGTTCAAATATGCCACATGCAAGAATAATGTGGCATGCCGGTATAAACAATAGATGTTGCCTTCAAGATACTCTTATTCCGATCAGAAACAACACACATATTTGATTTTTCACCATATGCATGTTTGAATTGCTCAAAAAACCACTTCCATGATGCCTCATTTTTTGAATCAACAACAGCATATGCCAGTGGTAATATGCTACCTATCATATATGGCAAAAAGGAATTCAATTTCCATCATAAAATTGTAGATAAAGAAAAATACATACAAACAACAATTTTCTACAATATATCTACAATAAATCTACATTACCTGCTGCATCCAGTGTGCTAGCTGTTAGCATTATTCCCCTGTATGCTGACTTCAAGAATGTCCCATCGACTACTACAACTGGCCTACAATATTTCCATCCATTGATTGACATACTAATCGCAACAAATGCATACAAGAAATAGTCATCGTCGGTCTTCTTCAATTTAACTACCGACCCCGGATAAGTCTTCTCCAAAATATACAAATAACTAGGCAATCGACTGTAGGAGTTAACAGGATGACCTCTCAAAAATTCCAAAGCCTTTTCCTTTGCTCTCCAAGCTTGCATGTATGTTAAGTTCACGCCGTGTACAGACAACATATCAGTTTGTAGGTCTTTTGGAGTGTAAACTGTCTTAGGATCAGCATATTTTGGTATAACCATGCTACCCACTACCATGGCAGTAAGTTTGCGTTGTATGTATGTATTATCCATCAAAGAGCATGTGTGCAAGCTGTTGAATTTTCGAACCTTGAACATTGCTGAATCATTTATGCTGGTGGCCTTGAAGTGCCATGTACAATCTTCCCCAACACATACCAGGCAGTAGCTATAGAATAAAAACAATTTAAACAATGGTATAAAAAATATAGATACACAAAAAATAGGCTGTTTAATCATGAAAATCTTATATTTAACAATTTATATACAAAAAAACTACAATTTATCTACAATTTGTATACAAAGATATTACAAACACTGAAGAACGAAAAAATACAAATAAACTACAAATTAAACAAAGACATGATTTTTGACCATTGAACTGTTCTTACCTTCTAGCACTAGACCTTTTTACCCTAAATTGAAACTTGTTCATGACAGAATAGTGCTTCATTGCACTAGCAATTGTTTGCTTGTCTTTGTATACTTTGCCTACTTCAATAACAGTTGGTGTATTTTCTGTTATGATTATACTTTCATATTCCACTGTCGCCGGAGATGTTGGCATATCAATCAACTTTCAGTGTTCCAGATGAACCTGCAATCAATTAAAGTCAAATACAGTTATGACATATATTGTAGATATTTTGTGGTATAATTGTAGAACAATGAAATTTAAGACTTACATATTCATAATAATTGATATACACATGTTATGTAGTTTTTATTTAGAAATATTGTAGAAAAATTATAGAAAAAATGAAATTCAATACTTATTTTGATATACACATGTTATGTAGTTGTTTTGTAGAAATATTATAGAAAATTTGTAGAACACAAGAGATATAAACAAATTTCAACACTGGTATAACAGATCAAACCTGCAATTGCGTTCGAAATAGACATAATGCATTCCAAATCGAAATCCCGCGCTGTTATGCATAGCGGATACATTCCTAAGCTCTTGTTTTCCTTTTTTGTCTCCATGTATACTAGAACTCCCATATCGTTCCTTATTTCCATTGGCGGACAATTTTCGTTGACAATGTATTTGATTTCGATTATTTTTTCTAATGTATCGATCATTTGATGCTCTGCGATTTTAGAAATCAATTGGCTATAAGTTGCATCTTCGTTGATTACAATCCTGTCGATATGAAAATCCCGGTATCTCCCAAAGCTATCCCAATTACCATTTAGGTGAAGCATAATAGCTATTTTCGATATTATTGCGCGTGATTCAGTACAATTGTAGATAATTGATTCGATTTTGCTTGTGAAACCAGAATATACAGTGAAAAACAGAGTATTCGGAAAATAGAGTATCGAAATTGTGAGAGAAACGGAATAATTTCAGGCTTAATTAATGGCGACTAATGCGTTGCAAAAAATCTCGGTAGAATCCTTTACTATCCCAAATTCTCGCTCCAAAAAAAGGAATGTTACAGCAGAAAGGATTCCTTTTTAAATGATTTGTATAGATTCTGTAGGAAAAACGTGTCCAGGTCGGGTAATATTGTAAACAAGGACATTTTTTGTAATAAAATTTCATATAGTGTATAAGAATGAAATTTCCTTATTGGATTAATTATAAGGTTGAAGAGAATAGGTACGGCCCAGAATTGTTACTGCACGTTGAAGGTGGCCTAAGGGAGTATAACCTAATTATTGAAATCCTTATTTTGGTCGATTCAGAATGCAGAGAATGGCGACTAAGTTAAATATAGCAGCAAAATAGCTTGAATGGTAACTATTCACTGGGTTGAGGAAAAAAATTTAAAGAAAGAGGGGGTAGGGGATTGGAAACCAATTCCTTGATTGTTACAGCAAACTACGAAACCAATATAAAATTAGAATTGATTTCGTATTTGATATTCGTAAGCAGCAGAGCTAAACAAAGTTGAGAGATTTCTATCGACCATCTTTAAATGAAGCAGCAAGGAAGGAATTTCTTTTTTAAGGATGCAATGTCTGGTCCCGGGGTCGCGTTCGCGATGAAGACCACCTGCGATCCCCCAGACTTCCCCAAGCCTACGCGTTCGCGTGAGGCCTTTTAGGTTCGCGAAGGGCAATGCCACTCAGGCCCTCGTGTTCGCGATCCACCTCTCGCGTTCACGTAGTGCAACCATCCCCAGCCACATTTTCCCTTTTGCGATCGTGATAGAGGCTTCGCGATCACGAAGCACTGAACAACAAAAGAAAAACCAACAGTTCAACAAGTCCAAAAATGTCTGAAACCAATCCGAAATTCACCCGAGCTCCCCGGGATCCAATCCAAATATACACACAAGTGTAATAACATCCTACAAACTTGGTCACTACCTCAAATCATCAAAAGTCATTAAAATAACATTAAATAACAAGAATCAAATGTTAAAACTCAAGGATTTCAACTTGAAAACTCATTTTCACAATCTTTCACATAATGCGTTGAAATGCGTTGGGATCACCTCTGACCCTAACCAAACATGCATACAAGTTCAAAAATATCATACGAACCTAACGAAATCGTGTCAAAACACCAACTCAAGTTATTTGTAAAGCCAAAAATCATATTTTCTTTAAAAAAATTATAAAAACTTTTCGAAAAATAACACGGACCACAACACAATGCTATAATATCAAATAAATCTATGAGAGGTCTCAAAATACGAAAATAAGCGCTAGTACTTAAAACGACCAATCGGGTTGTTACATTATGGCTTCATGGTGAGGCAATGAGTTGATTATGTTAAGAATGTATGAGAAAATAAAGTATAGTATATTAAAAGCGCTTAGGAGGGTGAGTATTTTCTCAAAAATATCATATTTGTCCATTTATATTATAGTATAAACTTGGGTGACATATGATTTCTTTGTGAGAGTGAGCAAATTCTTTCGATTTATGAGTCCTTAAATTATACTTGAATTCATATTCGAGTGTGTGGACTGATTTTTCTCTTTGATTTGTTGGTAGGGCACATAATTTGCAAAAGGTTGATAAAGTCCTTAAATTTTGAGTTAGAATAAGAAGCGATTCATAGTAGAGAATATATTAGAGTTTATTTTTGAGGCTAGGATGTTAGAAGAAGCCACATAATTATTTAATTAGTCTTTCCATGATTTAAAACTTGAGGAAAAGTTTGAATAGTACTTATGTTGGGTTGTAACCGTTGGTATAAACTATTATCATTGGTGTGATGCTTGAGTAGGCTTAAAAATTTAGTTCCTGCCGATGTGCTTAATTTTAAGTTGCTCGAGGACAGACAAAATTCTAAATGATGGGTGGTGATAAATGACCAAAATTGCATATTCTTAGTATGTTTTTATCTCATTTGTTGTATGATTTTTGGGAGATTACAAGGTTTTAAAGTGAAATATGCTCATTACATATTTTTTGTATATGGGAGTAAGTGTGGATGATATGTGATCAAAATTTGATAATTTGACGTAAAACAGAAGTTGTGGAAAGATTTGGAGCTCGTCCAGGTCCGTGCATCGCTCGAAGGAAGAAACGCTAAAGGGGACAGCTAAGGTACAAAAACAGTAAGTGAAGTGAAGGCGCGGATCGCTTCGCAGAACAAAAAAATCAATGGTTGGGAGATCGTCTGCGAGTATAGATGCGGATTTCATCTTTCTTTTTCGAGATTGGATTGAGTAATTCTGCCTCATATAAATCCTAATTGATAGAAATACATCCTACAATGACTTTGGAGGGGACACAACATATTTGATGGCATGAATACACTAGGAGAAAGGAGCAAGACTCAACCGCGAGTTTTTCTTTCTTCTTGCTATTTCTTATTATTGGTTATGAATATTAGTATTATATGCACACTATTATGTATAACTAAATTTCTCATTTATGGTTTTAAAGGAACCTTTTGTAGGATAAATTTTTGTTACGTTTTTATATAATTGACCCGTTAGATTTCTCTGGTTGTTCAACTACGTACTTATTTCAATTGATTGAATGATCATCGACTAACTGTGTCTATTTATTATGTGTTTCTTGAGAGAGAATGTATATTTAGGTAGTTGTTGAACAACGTCACTCCCTAGGTATATGTGAGATCAATATAGCAAGCTTAAAAGCGGAATTAGAGATAATGAAGCTTTGGTATGATCATAGTAAGTTGTGAGAAATTGTCAGCTAGAGTAGCTCGAGAGAATACATCAATCAAATTGTTGTAATTGCTCGAGAGAGAATTTATGGTAAGTTGAGTGCTCACGTTCAGTAGAGAATAATCAGCGAGATTATAGATAACGTAGCGAGAAGGATTTCGATAATTAAAAAAATCATACATCTAGGCCACCTTAATATTATCTCTAATTTCATCGTCTTTAGTTCACAATTTTACTGCTTTTAAATATTTATTAATTTATTAGTTAAACATAAAAGTCTAAATCTTTATAATATAGAAAATTATTCAAATTTGTCTTCTTAGTGATAGTGAACAATTTTGCCTAAACTTTAGTTTTCTGTGGAATTGGACTTCGGGCTCCAAAATAAAATTACATTTGCAATAACTACTTAGTCCTTTTTATAAAACATAATTGGAGGTGATCACTTGCCAAAACCAACTTCGGACATTTTTTTTACTGAAGTTTTGTCGTTGGCAAGGCCTAATTTTAGATACTTTTTAGGATTAGTTACCTCCTATAGCAAAGGTTGATATCTTATTTATTTTAAATAAATACCCTTTTAAAAAATTATATTCCATTGCTACCTTTTGATTTTTTTATAGCCAATCTATTTATGGTCACCTCCTACCATTAAGCCATAAAATAAGCTTTGTATTATTTTTCTCTCTCCCCTCAATTTCTAATACCCCCTCAAAAAATGAAAGAAAGGTAAATCTAAAAAGCTGTCAACTGAGAAATCGAAAAGTGGCTGCCAACCGAGAAGTGGCTAGTCTGCTTGATTTCCTCCATTCTAATAATCAAAAGTGAAAAAAGATGAAGGAGATGAATAGCAAGAACGAAAAAGTGTTGAAACTCCATCTCAGTACAAGAAAGAAAGGTAATTCGATGCTTCCGAAACCAAGGGTCGACACATACTTCCGAATAAGGATTAGTTACTGGATACTGATGCTGCTTCAACGAGATGATATTAGGGTTGTTCTTGAACAAAGACGACGGAGTTGGGGGCTGAGCAACTTGAATTTTCTGTTAATATTTTTCAATGTATTTCAATGTATCTCGCTGTATTTCCATGTATTTTATTGTATTCATCGTCGTTTTTTTCATTGTATTTCAATGTATCTCAATGTTTTCTATGTATTTCATTGTATTCATTATCTTTTTTTCATTGTATTTCAATATATCCCGATGTATTCTATGTATTTCATTGTATTCACTGTCTCGCTATATTCCATGAATGTATTCAAATATTTTTTTTAAATAATATAATTTATGTATTCAGATGTATTATATAATTTCTCTAAAGATTGCTATGTTCTTGGGGTATTTTTCGGTTGAGAATCTTTTTTATAACTGGAAATACAAAATTTGTGTGTTATAATTGAGTTTGTTGAGTTATATTAGGAGCCTATTATGTTAATTGATTCACTTTCCGTTTAAAAACAG